GACAACTAGAATTACCAGCCCATGTATCAGCCCATTGATAAGTATTTTTTTTTTTCAAGATTTTATTTATTTGAGAGAGCACGAGCGGCGGGGTGGGGCCGGGAGAGGGAGAAGCAGACTCCCCGCTGAGCAGGGAGTCCCATGCAGGGGTCGATCCCAGGACACTGAGATCATGACCTGAGCCGAAGGCAGATGCTTAACTGACTGAGCCACCCAGGTGCCTCTGATAAGTAGTTTTCACTGTAAAGATGGGGTTTTGTTTGTATGTCTCTTGTTGTACTCGTTTAGTGAAATGATTCACAAGATACAATTCTTCATTACTAATCTTACCAGATTAGGGGAGGTAACTTGAAAGGGAGAAGCTGGTGTTCCTTAGCCTACCATCCTCCCCCTGTGCCATGCAGCCTCCAACTATGAAGGCAAACTCTAACCAAATGACCTGGTCCTACTGTGCACTGTCACATATGGCTGGTTTGGGTTTTTTTTTAAGCTTTTATTTATTTGAGAGAGAGAGAGAGACAGAGCGAGTGAGCAGGAGTGGGAGGAGGGGCAGAGAGAGATGGAGAAGCAGACTCCCTGCTGAGCAGGGAGCCTGACGTGGGGCTCGATTCCAGGACCTTGGGATCATGACCTGAGCCGAAGGCAGATGCTTAACCAACTGAGACACCCAGACACCCCCTATATGGCGGATTTCTAATACAATCATTAGTTACTGTGAATGCCGCCATTGCTTGGTGCACAAAAGTAAAAAAGAAAAGAAAATTTTTTACCCCAGTGGTGACCTCTCAAAGAATTCTAGCAACAGCTTATGAGAAACCCTGGACTAGCCTCTGGGACCTCTGCATGCATTGCTGTCCAAGAACCGAACATGTATGTGTCTGTGTTTGCCTATGGAATCAGGCATCCTTTCAGTCTTCTAAGTCTCTCCCAAATGCTGAGATCGAAATTGGTGGATTTAAGTCACAGCTGGAACTCTAGCTGTAGGGGAGTCTGGGAAGTGCTTTTTTTTTTTTCCTTAAAGCTTTCAAGTTCTTATAGTAGAGGAAGGCACACTAGATGGAAATTGGGATAGATATTATATGCCCGTATACCATATATTCCATGTTGTTAGATTTTTTAAAATGAAGACTTTTTTGCACATTTGTGTAGTAAAATTTTCTCAAAGCAAGTCTTTAAAACTTTGGTTTGTTCATTTAAAATTTTTTTTTTAGTGCCTGCCATGTGCTGCCTCTGTCGTAGGTACTTGGGAGGCATTTAGTAAGCAAAGCAGAGTTCTTCCTTCATGGAACTTTACTTCTAGCAGGGAGGTAGAGATAATAAGCAAAGCACAGAGTTAAATAAATTGTCTAGTTTACAAGGTGTTTAAAACGAGTGAAATATTGGCCAGTGAGATACTAGAAACCATATGATTTCTTATTTGTATATATCAGGAACTTTGGGTTGCTACCACTTTTTCCTCAAAACTTTGAGAAAATGAAGGAAACCATTGTGGTTGCTTTTGTCATTATCAGTGGCGATAAGCTGGTAAGGGTCTGGGATGAATTTGATTACAGGATTGATACATGTGGTGTAATGGGGCATCCATGAGCATTCAAAAGTTTATAGAACTAGTGATTGTTCCCTTAAATGTTTTGACACAGGTTCATATGTAATCAGTTATTGAATAGCACAGTTTTCAATGTGTTCAGTTATTTTTGAATCATCCTGTATTAGAAGGTGGTAAGTGCTCTGGAAAAAAACAGTAGATTCAAGCAAGCAGCAATGGGTATGCTGGAGTCTGGAGGTAGTTTACAGCATTAAATAGGATGGTTGGAGTAGGCTTTATTGAAAAGGTGATATTCAAGCAAAGGAAGTTTGGAAGTTGGTCAGTCATTAGGATATCTGGCAGAATGTTTCAGGTGGAGGAAACAGCTCGGGCTAGGTAAGAATTGGAGGAAAGCAAGGTGGCTCAGCCAGTGTGTCTAGAGCAGCGTGAGTGAGGAGAGTTGTAGGTAGGAGATGAGGTCAGGGAAGGAAGGGCTGAGGGTATTCTAGGGCCCTTAATGCCACTGAAATGGACAGCATCTCAGGACTTTGAGCAGACCAGTAACAAGATTTACCTAAGGGTTTTTTTTTTTTTTTTCCCCTCTTTCTTTTCCCCAAGGGTTTAAAAGGATCAGTCAGGATGTTCTGTTGAGAATAGAGTATAGAGGCCCAAAGGTAGAAGGGAGACTAATTAGGATGGTTGGCTTGCCATGGTAGTAGTTATGGTGAAGTGTGATCAGATTCTGGGTATATTTTGAAAGTAGAATTATCAGGACTTGCTGATGGATTGGATGTGGAATGTAAGACAGTCAAGGAGGAAGTTAAGGTTTTGGACTAAGAATGGGAGAGAGAATTGTCTTTAACTGCAGTTGGAAAAGCTGAGGTGAGAGCACACTTAGTAGGGAGGGAGCAGGTCAGGGGATCAGTATTGGATATGTTGAGTTTGTGATACTATTAGAGATCCACGTGGAGATGTCAAGTAGTCATGAGACTGGATGAGGTCACCAAGGAAGAGACTGGAGTTAGAAAAGGACGAGAAAGAACTGAGCTTAGGGCATCCAGTGAAGGAAACTTAGAGAGTATGGCCAAATGAGGAAAGTATTTCCAAGAAAAGGGAGTGACCAGTTCTATCAAATGCTGCTGATGAGACAAGATGAGGACTGAGAATTGACAGTTGGATTCAGGGAAATGGAGGTCACTGGGACTGACAAATGGGGTGCAGAGAACCTGATTGGAGTGTGTTTAGGAGAGAAGTGGAAGAGAGGACTTGTTGACAGTGTGTGCAAACAACTCTTTGCTTTTGGGAGGGAGGAGAAATGGGACAGTCTCTGGATTGAGGAAGTGGGAGCGAAGAGAGCTTATTTTTTTCCTTCAAGACACAGAAATAACAACATGATTTTATGGTGATGAAAATGACCCAATAGAGGGGAATGAGAAGATTATACCTAAACTTCATGGTCAGTTTTTATAGTTATGCCCTTGTATAATACAGTCTCAATTTCTTTGCCTCTTTCTTGCTTTGTCACACTTGGTTGGCAAAGCCACAAACTTGGTGAAATGCAGCACTTCTGCTTCTAGGTGCCTGTTCTTTCAATTCCATGATACTGTAACAAACACAGACTTTCAAAGTAGAAAGTTTTTGTGTTCTCTGGAGGCACTCTGACCTTAGGCTATAAAAAGTGAGCATAAGGGACAATACCGGCTTAGCTCTAGGATGATGGGGTTGAGAGCTGGCCTTCTTCCTGGGGGACTCTTTAGTCCCAGAAAGCAGAATTCTTTGAGGTTATCAGTTTCTTTAATGATTATTTGTCCGGAATTCTAGGACTGGCTGTTGAACATTTCCTACAATGGTGAAGTATGGGATATTGAGGAGGTAGGAAGTTGCTTGGAATTACAGACTTTTCGTTAGCTCTTGAACAGTCTCCTCCTCTGTTGTGCTTGGCACCTCCAAGTCCTTGGGTCCCAAGTTTCCTGAATTCTTCTAGTACCTACCCCACCCCCCCCTTAGTTTTCCTTTTTGTCACTGTGGGCTTAAACATAACTTAATTTCTATTTATTGGTTTGCTGTTTACTTTAGTCCTGGGAGGGAGAGGACAGGAATGCCTGTGTTCAACTGTTATTTTATTGTGAATTGGAAATTTGAATCATTTCTTAACTGTTGAAATAGAATTGGTTGTGATGTAAGTGCCCAGCATTAACCTCTCCAACTCTATCAGCTCTAATAAGATTCACAGTAAACTTTTCATAAGATGTGTTATTAATGCACTTTTAGAGAATGTCCTACCACTCAACAAGTAGAAGTAACTTAATTAACCTTACGTTTATGGCAGCAGTAGTGCTTTTGAAATCACAGTTTTTTTTTCCCCCTCCTTTGGATTTTTGATTCTTAATTAATTTGGAAATGGGAAAAAGTTACTTTGACTTTGTAATATATTTTTTTTAAAGTCAGTTAAAAGAAAGAATAGTCAGTAGTTTTAAATTTCTTGCCAACCTGAAAAACACTCCATGTAATTTTTGTACATAATCCTAAATACGTGTTTTCTTTTTTATGATTGAGTTAATGAGAAAACTGGAAAAAAAAAAAAAAACCTTGTGTGTTTTATTGAAGTGAAAGTTCTTTGTTAATTGAAGAAAAACATCCAGAATACCTATAGCTTCTAAATCTACTACATTCTTTTGCATGTTTATTTCCCTTTAAGTAGCATTACTAAATATTTCAAAAATATGTGAGAAATTTGTTGAATTGGCAGTTATTTTTTTACTGTCTAGTGATGCCACGAAATTCTACTTCAGTAAGCATTGATACATAAAATTAAAAGATGTCCAGGGTTTTTTTTTTGTTTGTTTTCCTTTTTTGGGGGGTGAATAGTTGCAAAATAAATCTGAAAAATTGTAAGGATTCTGTGAATCCAGATTTAAAGTTTTAAAGTGTATAATATATACTTTCTAATGATAAAACTTGTATTGATTAAAGGAAAAAACATATTAAGTATATTAAATGAGATGATGTTATAGGTGGTTTTTACTGTCTAAATAATTTGTTATTAAAAAGTGTTCTCACATAGAAATAATCTTACATATTTACAAGTATTTGACTACTGTGTGAATAGTGGACACTAAGTACACTGCTGTAGTTTGTTTATTTTAAGGAGGAATATAAGAACAGGAAAAGATAATTTGAACTGTCTCAAAAGAAATCTTTAACAGTAGATCATAGACTGTTGTGTTAGGTTTTTTTCATTTTTGTAGCTCCAGGATTTTGATAACATTTTACTGGCTGGTTTTAGATCATGTAATAGTCACACATTTTTGCATATTGAAGTAACTTGCCAGTAGCACATAAAACTCAAACATTCTCCTTTGGTTTCCAGTGTTATCTTCTGTTGCCCATAATAACTTTCAGTGGTATGGTTTTTATGACATCTAATGTATATAAACAGTTGTGTGTTTAATATCATTAACATTTTTTCTTTTAGATTATCTGCGATGTTGAAATGAAGTAACTCAAGATGAGCAAGTTAAAAGTGATATCAGAGAAAAGGTACTGTAATTCTTTTTTTTTTTTTAATTTTTTAATTTTATGTTATGTTAGTCACCATACAATACATCATTAGTTTTTGATGTGGTGATCCATGATCCGTTGTTTTCATATAACACCCAGTGCTCCATGCAGTACGTGCCCTCCTTAATACCCATCACCGGGCTAACC